TGTCACATTGGGTGCCAATTTGTAGCACAAATGTAGTTTAGAAATCTTTAATTTTAGAACTTATGATTTTATATGTAGAAAGTTTCTACTTGAACATTATATAAATAAAATAAAAAAAAATAAAAAAAAAATAAAAATAAAAACCTCAAAAAAAAACAACTAGGATAAATCAAATGATAATATATACAAGGCAACACATACTAATTAAATTGCCAAAATTACTAGAGAAAAAAGAATCTTAGAATATCATATTGAATTATCTGGATTGGTAGTTTGAAAAGTTTTGTAGATTCTTTAGAAAGAACAGCTAAGATGAATTAAATAACAATATGTATAAAAAAATACATATCAACCAGGCTGTCAGAAATTACTAAAAGAAAAAGATCCTAAGATTATCAAACTATTTGGATTAGTAATTTAGGAAATCTCATAGGTTTAAAGTAAGAAACAGAAATTAAAAAGAAAGGTATTGAAGTTTTAGTGAACTTTACAAAAATAAAAATAATGTATTGTAACAGTTAAACAGATAACTTCTATAATTGCAAGTGTTAGGTAACTATAACATATTGCATAAAACTAAGTTAGTATATATAAGATATAAAAGCTCTAGTAAGTTTTCTGTTAAGAATAAACTAATCTTAAAAGTACTAATAAGGATCAAAAACTTAGATGGATGATGCTCTGAAAATGTTCTCATAATACAAGATAAATTACATATGCAGAAGATTTAAATAAACAAGACCTTTAACTAACTTGCAGATATGATATCTAGTATAGAACTTATATAGTAATATATAAACGGACTACTTAAATTAGGCACCAAAAGTGCATGTATGATTAGTTGTAACCTTCAATATAAGAAAACCCCTGAAGGCATCTGTGTTCTATAAACTTGAATAAAAATCACTCTCCAAAGACAGATGCATCAACATAATTATTATAAACTAGTGTTAGAATCTGTTTGGTTAAATACTCAGTTTGGATTAAACTTAATTCAGGCTATAACCAGGGCTAAAATGATACATAGTAAATGCTAGCCATTCAATAAGTGTCATTTTTGATTCATCTTATATTAAGATTTTATTGGCTCAAGAAACAATTGGTGCAGTATAATTATGCATATAATACAAGTACTGCATTAATAAAATATATTTATATATAGTAATATAATATATGCTTTAAAATTCTTGCTTGTTTCTAACTGCTATAGATGAAAATTATGGTTACTTTTAAAATATAATATATAGTTTATAATACTTGCTTGTCTCTAATTGCCACAGACGAAATTATTATTATTTATAAAATATCTGTTTTTAGTAAAACTTGTAATTCATACTATTTACTTGATGAAGAATATATTTTTTGTGTAAGTTTATATAATATAAGTTAAAGACTTGTCAATCAATTTATATTAACTAGATGGTCAATTATAAATACTAAGTATGTATACACTTCGAATTTTTTTATAATATGACTTTAAATAATTAGGTTTTGTATACACATACTTATGATATTTATTAATTTTTTAAATATATTAGTAATTTATTTCTTTTATTAATTTATATATGATTAATTAATTATTTTTATTTATTTTTCTTTCTTTAGTTTGATATCAAATCTTCTATGCATTATTAAAATTAAATTCCATTACATCAGTCTCTTCTAATCCAACCATAATTAACATATACAATGTATCATTATTTAGACTATTGTGCAATTTAGTCTTAATCAAATTTTGTTTAGAAAAACCACGTTCACACTCTACACTAAAGAAAGAAATAGAATATATTATTGCTAATAATTTACCAATATTCGGATATGAGTCAATATGTTATTGAAATAATAAAACAAGTAGTTTGTCTATTGGTAAATTAGAATAATTTTTATAAATTAACTTTTTAAAATAAAACCATTCTATATGTGTATCATTAGAATTAACTACTGCTAATAGAAACAAAAGATATTAAGGTTCTTTATAAAAATTAAGTAATAATTCTAATTCTTCATTACCGAATTCTGTTATGTTTTGATTATTTAATGACCAATCAGCCAACTTAAATATCTTCATAGCATCAACAAAAGGATTATTTGAAAATTGATTTTGAATTTCTAAAATTAATATAGATATAAAACTTATTATATCTACTATTAAATCATTTTCTTGATTTAATATCCAAGTAAGTGTATATGAACCAATTTTTGTATTTGTTTTAGGAAGAGTAGAAATAAAAAATTTGTTTAAATTAGTACTTAATTTAAAACAATTATTATTAAGATCTAAATAGGTTTTTTCTAACTTTGTAATGGTATTTTGAATTATAGGATATATATCATAAAAATAAAGGAATCGGGTTTGAAAAATTTAAATAATATTGCAAGCTCAGCAAGAATATCTTGAAGAAAATAAAAAAAAACTAAAGTTTACCAATTACAAAGATCTGAATATAAATCAAAAATTAAATATTGAGTTTTTTGATTTTTTGATTCACTTATAGTATGAAGAAGTATGTCAAATATAAGTTCAATTGAAAAACAAATATTATTTACTGCCTCATATAAAGAAAGCCACCATACATCAAAAATTTTTAGAATTTTTAATTGAGGATTATTAAGAGTTTCTTGATATGTAAATAAGATTTGAATTCATTTGCTTGAATTGCTAAAAAAAACATGAATTTTTTTTAACATTGATTTAGCATAAATACAAAATTCAACCTGTTTTTCAGCAGATTCACATGCCAAGGATAATCTATGCGCAATACAATGTGTAAAATATATATACAGGTTTACTTTAGTTATTCGTGTTGCAATGCCTGAAATATTTCCTTGCATTACACTTGCACCATCTGAAGTAAATGAAAAAATTTTATGATCTACTTCTATTTAAATAAAAAATAATTAGATTAATTTTTTAAATAAAAATTATTTGTATTTAAAATTATTCGATACTAATAAGCAATACAATTAACTTACTTTTTACAATAAATGGTTTAATTATTACATTATATATTGACTTTGCATCTTTGACTTCAATTTTTAATAGACTTAAAAATTGTATTTTTACAACACTATTAATGAAATATCTAACGTAAATTATAACATGTGACTCCATAGCAATATCAGTACTCTCATCGACTATGATTCCAATAGCTGATGCAAGAGATAATTCTTTCCAGATATTATCTTCAATTGAAGAAGATATAGAATATAATAATTCCCGACCACACATATTATTTTCATAGGTAACTGGATGGTTTTTAGATATCAAATGTGGGGCTTCAATAGCATGTCCAAGATGAGTAAGATGCTTAAATTTATTTAACAGAAGATCTTCTTTCGCCATACAATATATTATTTTCATTAAACTTATAATATGTTCTGGTAGCACACTCATAATTTCATCTTTTTTATATGATTTTAAGTGATCTCTTGTTTTTGCATGTTCTTTTATAGCATAAAGTTTAAGGTTCGTAGAGCCTAATTAAATTACTTATTAGAACTTTATTTATATTTTTATAATAGAGTTAAATAATTTAAACTTGCCATTCGTTGCAAAAATATTTTTTTTATTATAAGCACGACATAACGTGCAAAACAAGATTTCTTTGGGCATCATATTCCAGCCAAGGATATTCATTTTTCCAACTTGGCCGAAAATTTCTTTTAATATGTTGAGGCAAGGTTTCGTTAAGACCAGTATCTGATGACATAAGTATGATTCAATAATATTGGCAAACGTTTTCTTACCATAACGCTCAAATATATTAAAAATAAACAGTGATAAAAGCCAAAAATTCTATTCGTCTTTTGTGTCTATTGTTAAAAATGATCTAAACTAAAACATTCATACTAGTAATCGGATGTATCAAAAAAGATACTTTAAACAATAGGAAGTGGCGCAGAAAATGGCCACCGTATACTATGTGTCGTTTTAGCCCTGGCTATAACTCAAAATAATATCTATCGCATTTTATAATTTAAATGTAAGAAATTGCTATGTATTAATAAAATTACATACATACGAATATTCAAACCAACTAAAAAAGTACATATACTATATATATTAATATAAAGAAGGTATGAATACGTAAACAAAAATGAAAGCGATGAAATAACTACACAATCATGCATACCATCATGTACATCATGATGTATATTAGACCTAAAATGTTGATTAGAACAAAATATTTTAAGAATGTGCGGTATATATAATTAATGTTAATAATATGTATCGTTATATTTTTAAATTCTCGATTAGAAGATAAAAGGATTTGACATAAGAAAATTTTAAAATTATATTATAATCGATTAAAATTTAAGGATTTTAAACGATTTTCATCACCGCGATTAAAATCGATTGGATTTTTATTGATATAAATCATTGTTATCGATTATAATCAATTATAATATATTTATATCGATTTTTATCATTAATGATGATTATACAAAACAAATCGTTGCAACTAATTATAATCAGACTTCATAATTTCCTGATGTTATGAGATTAGAATAGGCAAGTTCTTAAAGTTACTTGAAGTCACCAAATCCAATAAAATTTGATTAACTAAAAACAATTGTGCTTTTCCATTCAATTCAATAAAGTCCAATGATCTTCCAGCTCTAGTAATTTTCACTGGAATGTTCTAGTGAACAACGCTGACTAATAACATTCCTAAGTACTTCATAGTGTATCACAAACTGAACATGTAGAATAGAAAGTCCACTTTTTTCATAGAACTTCTATAGTATGAGTGACGGGAAAGAAAACCGGCATATTTAAAAATAGATTTTTTTTTTATACAAAGAAGTGCGGACTTTAATACAACACAGAAAAATCCGATCCAGATATAATTCTAATTATTCATTCTTCAATCACGTGTTTTACTGATAACTTTTTAAAAACCGCATTTCTCTGTATAAAAAAAACTATTTTTAGATATGCTGGTTTTTTTCTGCCGTTACTCATATGAAGAGTAATTATGCTGTATAAAGTGAAAGAAATTATATAGCAAAAAAAGAATGTGCTCTGAGTTGATTCTAAGAAATTACCATATTGGGCGAATCAAAAATGGCAGTTTCAAACATCAGAAGAAAAAAGTACGTGTACGTACGTATACGTACTAGATTTGAAATTGAATAAATTCGAGTTATGTTATTATCCGATGCAATAATTATTGATAATCTATCGCATAATAATAGTGAGACATTTTTATGCAACGTATGATTATGAGTTAGCTAAAAAAATTTCGTTACCGGCGTTAGTGTTAGGGTTTGAGTGCATATTTGGTTTTATTTTAGTTACACCTGATCTTAATTTGACCATATATCGAGTTTTTTTTATTTAGTCTAGTGGGAAAAAAAATGGGGTATGAAAATTACCGTATCGTCGAGAGATAACGCCCGGGGCGTTAGTTCGGTAAGTTCGGTATTGGTTTCCAGATTATATTGTATATTGACCCTAAAAAGAACATCGCACCCACGCAAACCATTTTCAAAAAAAAAAAGAATGAGAAAAAAATTGGTGTTTGCTTTTGCTACAATAGCAATAGTAACATATAATTTTATTACGTAAAAACAATTTTAATATTGAAAATAACTTTGATAAGAGATAATAATAATCTATACCATTATAACGTATTGCATATTTTTCAAAAAAATTCATGGTTGACTCGGATCAGGTTTACCCGAATCCAGCTACAATTGTAATTTATAAAATTATAACTTTACGAATGCAATAATCGTTATAACTTGGGTGCATGATAATCAAATGGATTGCGGGTGTTAGACAAATTGAACATAGAAAATCCTTTTTTTTTTTTTTTTTTTTTTTTTTTTAATAATATATAGCATATATTGATTTAGGAAGAAAAAAAATAATTATTGTTACTATATAATTGTCCATAAGTGATAAAAGAAGAAAAATCCGAATACCATAATATTTTTTGCTACGTAATAAAAGGATATTGAGGTCCCTACGAATTGTTCGGTCCCTTAACTCACATTGACATAATGCAAGAGCAAATCGACTTAGCTGGTTAAAATTGAAAATCGAACAAAAATTTACATATTTACAAATAATAAGCATATAAATGACTTCTATTAAAGAAATATCGGGATTCTAAAACAAGAAAGGCAAAACAGTATCATCCCATTCTTCTCCAACCCAATCACTAAGTTCCATAATTCTGGCTTCTACCTTACTCTGTTCGGCAACATGTTTTACCATTGTATCATAAAGCCAATCGAGCACAGAAGCTTCTTTAATAGATTCGACCATTATATTATTGTCTAACAAAGGTTCTTCGGCGTTACTTCCATCGTTCGTTCGTTCGACATTCGATAAACGTTGTTCAGAAATTTTATCCGGTATACCATCTTTTTCGTCGACAATCTCCAGAGATTGCTGACTTTCAGTTAAGGTTTCCGGAGGAAACAATGCGGCAATCATTTTATTTTGAGGAGTGGCACATACTGCTTCAATAAACAATGTGGTAAGTCGTTGCATTACTGTACTAATCAACAGATAAGCGAACAAAGTCCTTTGATCAAATGCAAAAACATCTCTCAGGGAAGGTTGTCCAATCATAGAACCATTCCAAATGTTAGAATATGGAAATGCGGATTTTTCTTCAAACAAATGTTTATCAAGATTGAATTCAGGAATAAGCGTTGTTTGTACCCTAACGCGAGGATCTTGCCATGCACTCTGGTTTGTAGATGATGATGATGATAGTTTATCTTTATTAACGTCAGGAATAAGATACCGAGGATCAGAGGATGATGACTGAGATGCTTTAGAACGTTGAGCATTGCTTTTAGCTGTTGTTGAACTGTGGGGTGGAGAGAGAGGTGGATTAATTGGCTTCTTGGCCTGTTTTCGCAATTCTTCAACTTCTTGTTTCAATCTTGTATTTTCTTCTTGCAAATGCATCAAAGCTTGTCGAAGTAAATTTATTTCTTCTTGTTGTTGCTCTTTCGTCGATTCTAAACTTTGAATGTATTCTATGAAAATATACATTTTTGATTCGTTAATTTATTTAATTGAGAATAACTCACGATATTAAATAATTTAATAATTAAAACTAACCTTTTCTTCGAACACGAAAGTTTCTAGCTGATATTTTATTACGAAGTTGTCGTCGCTCTTTTGATGATAATTTTTTTAAATCAATTTGTGCATTATCATCGAGTTTACCATGATCACTTTCTTTATTATTATTAGGAGTTGCAGATAACTTGAGTGTAGCAAGAATATTAGACTGCGGATTATTCTTTGTTGGTAATGTAGAGCCAGACAAAGTCGGAGCTTTGCTGTCAGTATATGACTCTTGCTTAAATGAAGGAAGTTTCGACAATAACTCGGCTAATTGCGCATTTAACATAGCCAACGAAGGCCCAACCTCATTAGACACATTTGTCGACTGAGAAAGTACGTTGGGCTCTTCTACAAGATTTATTGAATTCATTTTAGGTTCTTCTGTTACGGAGTTAGGACTTGACACCATCGAAAAGTCATCCGTAGCATTCTGCATGGGTGTTGTATAAATCGTTGAGTCAACGTTTGTAGTGTCCCTGACCAATTCTCCTTCTAAATAATAACGAAAAAGATCAGAAGTAGACATGTTTCCAATATCAACGTCTTCCTCCATTGTGTCATTTTTTAAGAAATCCATGTCAATATATTCGTCGAAAGCATCATCTGTGCCATAAGAGTTAGGATCATTGGAGGACATAGTAAGTACAATTTCTTTGTGTTAATATATATTGCTGTTTTTCTTATATTATTTCTAATAGTTTTTGAAGGCGAACGAAAAAGTAATGTATGAAGCTGACGGAAAGTAACGAAGTAGTATGTAACGTATTATTAATAATGCCAAAATCCTAGTTTTAAAAAGGTTCTCTAAGGCATTCTATCCGACACATTCCGAAGATCTGTTACACAAATTATTTTAATTTCCGTACAATTTTTGATAGAGATACGTATCATTATTACTAGGGTTGGTATCTTTGGTGCTTCATTATTCTATTGCTTCATTGGGAATTTCTAACACTAAATAATGAGTTATTCAGAACAATCAATATTTTATGTACAAGAAAAAAATGCACCATTGCTCCATTTCGCGAAAAATGCACTGTAATAATCATACCATCCCCAGAAAATAAGCCGTGAGTAGGGTTCTGCAAATGATGCCAGGCACTAGTACCTCATGCCGTGCCTGTGTCTATGGGAACAAAAATGCCATTATAGGCATAGAAACTAAGTTCTGGGCATTATTATAGGCATTTTATATTTATACTTACAAAAATGCTTAACCAATTAATAGTACTACTGAAGCTTTAAGAAAGCAATAAGATTACTGGATTTGGTGTAATTAAACCAAAATTTTATTATAAAAACTATAGTTTGACCTTCTAGCAATCTTGCTTTTATATTGCAACATATGGGCCAGCCGCAGTAAAAGGAGCAATGGGCCAACCAATAAGATTTTGAGATTTTATAATAACAATTTGCTTATACGTATAAGTTTTATCTAGGGATGTTAAACTAGTTAAAATAGACTGTTTCAGTTCTGAACTGGCAGTGCACTACATAAACTGAATCTAACTAGTTTTTAATAGTTTGTTACACAAATTTAAATTGATAATCTTTTCAATACCTTGAAAGCAACAATAATTATACATTTTATTTTATTTATTTTATTTTTTTTAGCACTTTTTAATTTTCTTTTACATATTCTATTAAGCCTGTTGCAAACCAAGTTTTAAGACAGAGAGAAGCATAGGCCTTTTTTGACTCAATATGATTTCTAGTTGGACTAATAATAAATTTGGCTATGCTAAACATTTGTTCACTTGTCACACTTGTTGCTTAAACTACTAAGTAGTTACATATCATATAAGCAAGTTGAACCTATTGAGAATTTTTAGATTTTGCTTTTTAGTAATTAAGAATTTTTTTTTTTTTTTGTTAAAGGTTATACTTTGTGGCAATATTTTATTAACTTTTATTGGGTTAGTTATTACAACTATTTTTATAGAGATGAGAGTACAACTAGTTACATATTCAATTTTTAGTTATCTATTTAAGTAGTATGTCCTAAGGTTCTATACTAAATACTGTACCTATAATTTATTAGAAGATTATCTATTTAAACATTCTAATTATCTGCTTTGTTATAATGTAATCCTAACTAACCTCTCATATATATCTAATTGGTATACTGTCTGAGCAATATAATACCTATCCTTTTTGTATTGGTTCTCAGATCATTATATATTTCAGAGTATATCATTTGCCAATAAGGTGCAAAGAGTCTCTTATTGTTAATTATTTACTCACTTTTAAAATACTTTTACAGAATTCTTTTAGATCCTGATATTGACTTCATAGCATATTTTTAGTACTTTTAGTATACTCCTGTTTTGATTTTAAACTCTCAATCCAAATAACCTAGAAGGATTATAAACTGTTCTTAATATATTGAGACCTGCCTAATATTCTTTTTCTCTAATTCAAAATCTGGAAGTCTAATTGGTAATACCTTTTATTTAAGATTCTTGCCTGTTTGATTCTTTTATATTAGTATTTATTTTTTAGATCTAATCTTTACAATAGTACTGTCAAAGATCTGTATTACCTCTTTGCTTAGAATTTCCAAATAAGTTTCAGCTTCTTAGTTCTACAAATTTATATGATTCAAGAATTTATTTTAGGTTTGTATTACCTAGTATTGGTTTGTATTCCTCTATATAACAAGTTACACAAATACTTCAGACCTGCCAGTCATACTAGTACAACCATAATTACAAATATCTTATTTCAACTAATCAACAGAATGTTGTTATCATAATATCATCTATATATTGCATAAGTAATTATTTAAATTTTACCATAAGTGGGTTTTGAACTTACAACCTATCACTTAAAGAGATGACAACTTATTCATTTTACTAAGTTATTATATCTCTAATTAAGAATATTAATTTCTTTAATAATTAAATCAAGATATTCTTTAAGAATATTATTATGATTTATAGATATATTATACTTTTTTCAAAAATAATTATGAAAAGTTTCTAATTTGAAAGTTTCTGTTATTAAAATGTTATTGTTTCTAATTACATAATTTGTTTTATAAGTTATATAAATAGTATATTATGCTTCATATCTTTCTTTTTTATTATTAAATAATATTAGTTTATTATTTAGATTAAGAATTACAGTTTTATTAAAGGTAGTTTTAAGTTTGTTTCAATATTTATTTAATTTTTTTTTATCTTTTATGTAATTTGTTATAATATATTATTATCATTTTGAGCCTCTAATTTATTCTCAATTACATATTGGAAATCTAATATTAATTTAGATTATGATTAATATTATTTATTTCCACCTATCGAATGCAAACCATGTACAGAATACCATCTTAATTCAAACAGAATTAACTAAATATGTATTATTAACACATTAGCAATTATTTTTGCAACATTTCTAGCTAAAAAAACTTCTAACAATCTTAAATTCAATACTAATTACATTGATCTTATATACTTAATAGCTATTAAATATTCTTTATATATATCTTCTATACCTTCCAATATCATCATATACAACTTTAGTATTTTAGAAATCTTTAAACCAAACAGCTACATTCATGAACTTCAAGATATTTATCTATTTAATTCTACAAATAATAACTTTACTTTTTATACTGATGGTTCTATTATTGATATTAGATTAAAACAATGTTCTATGAGTATTGGATAGGTTCAAATTAATAAACAAAATCAAATTATCTATAAATTTTTGGTCTAAGTCTGTTTATAGCCATCATTCTATAAAGCTAAATTAGTCTCAATTATATCTGCAATATCTATTACACTTTGTAATTCATCTATTAGCATCTATACAGATTTACAATCTGTTATTTCAAAAGTTTATATACTATTGAACTAATTATAAAATCTTAACAAGTTATTTAAATTTAGCATATAACTTTTATAATATATCTTACTTAATATTATAAAATCTTTTAATCTTCAAATTACTTTTTACAAAGTTCAAGCCTATACTGATAATTCTTTCAACAACCTTGCAGATTCTTTAGCAAAACAATATATACTCCTTCAACTTCTCATCTTTAATTATACTAATATTTATAACCCTTATTATATTCTTTAATAGAAACAAAACTTTATCAAACTACCAACTAGATATTTTATCAAAAATATATGCAAAGCATATATACTAGCAATGTGATCTTCATAAAAAAAAAGCAGTGAATGGTCTCATCTAAACCACCTCATAAACTAGACCTTTTTTTAGCTTTATCTTAATCATAATCAAAAACCTATATCTTTTTACACCAGCTTTAAACTTAATCAACTCAAAATTTTTAAATCTAAATTCTTACTAAATGAGCTATCTACTTAATTTTTTCTTAATAACAGATATCTTCATATCTTTACCAATACTAATTGCTTCAAATGCAATCTTTTTAACTCATCTACATACTGGCACACATGCTCTAACATATATAATACTTTTCTTAATATCATTCATACATCTGTTAACCCAATATTTTCCAAGACTGAACTGGACTTATCACCTTTCCAACTTTAAAAACTAGGTTTTAATATATATCATCATCCATGCTTTAATCACATACTATTTCAATACAATCTACATTTTATAAACATTACATATAAAGAACTTATATCTAAATCACTTATTGAAGTTATTCACAACTTTAATATATTGTAATAAAATTTACTAAAAACTATCAAGCTATAGCAAATTTTAAAGTGATGAGGGTCAAGTGGAAGATCTTTTATTTAAAGGAAAATAAAATAAAATAAAAGAAGAAATATAAAAATAAATAAAATAAATAAAAA